TATAACTACCCTGGGTCCGTATAAATACTATGTTGCTATACCTCTTACACACCTATACAAATTCAAAGCACGAATGAGACTTCAAAGCTGTGGATTGCTATGCGTCTGTAGAGGTTCTCAAGCGGTTAACGGAAAAGCAATTTAAAGTACTATACCTAGTAGCTGTACTATGGCTACCCTAGGTCTCTATACCTTGCAAGGTACCAATTCCACCTTTCCATTCAGATAATGCAAATGATGCATTTGGCATTTCTTACATCACCGCCCCTCAAAACTCGCCTCCAACACAACCTCAAAAAACCTTCCCTCGAATCACCCTCCTTCCCAGTTAACGTATACCTTTCTCGGGCCATCCCCCCCAGACCCCCTAACTATTCACGGAATTGTGTCTAGCGCCTTCTACGAAGGCTGGCTTTCGTAATCCATTTCCAACCCTAAAAAATGTATATTTATCTATATTTTTTCAATAAAGCTTTATAAACGCAATCTATATATATAATAATTAAAAATATTTAAAAAAATATATATATATATTAGAATCGAATTTTGACGTCGATAATTTCTTTTTATTATTATAAAATATTGTTTAAAATTAATAAATTTATTAAAGGATATTCTTTTTTTGCATCGATAGACATATTTTATAATATAAAAAACGTAAAAATTAATAAATGTTTCTTCCTTCCTCCCTCCTCTTCCTCCTCCTTTCCTATTCCTGTTATTCTTCTTCCTATTCCTTTTCCTCCTCCCCCCATTTCTTCCGCCTCCTCCTCCTCATCCTTATCCTTTCCTTCCCCCCCCTTTTCTCGCCCTCCTCCACCTGTCCTGCTCCATTGCATTCTTCTTGTTTTTCCTTCCGTCTTATCCTCCGTTCCTCTTGTCCACCGTTTCGCCCTTTTCTTTCTTTTCTCCTCGACCTGTTGCTCCTCGTCGCTTTGTGTCTCTTGGCGGTATCATTTAGAGATGTCAGAGAAATTCCCCCGAAGATCATTGGGCAAACCTTAAGAATTTCTACGCAATTTTTTCAAGATTTCTATCCACGTTGGAGCTTCGACGCAAGACTTCTTCCAAAGAGATTGATCAACGTATATAGGCGGTATTGAACTTATCTTTCCATATTCGGTGCGCTGGCCCCAACTCCGCGACCGTCTAGCTTGGCGACCTATATCACGCCTTGCGGGGGAGGCCTTGCGCCCTCCCCCTGCACCCCCCGTTCTTTTTGTCCAACCCGCAGCACTACCATTGCTCTCCTGTAGCTTTGCGATTGTTTCATACTCCAAGCTATGTCATGCCCTGCGGGGGGGAGGGGTGCTGCGCCCGTCTCCTTGCGCCCGCCTCCCACTTTTTTTACGCACGCGACATTCAAAGATAGGTAACGCTCTGTGATCCTACAGGTGCAGAAAAACCGGTGAATTAGCGGGCACCGTCGACAAAAGCCTCCGTTCAACCGACGCAAAAAACCACCCTCAGTGGATACTGTCGTTAAAAAGATCTTTTCCAGGAACATTCCAAAGATTTGAAAACAAACTACACTTATTATTTATTGTCGTAAACAACACGAGTCCCAAGAACATATATTGTAAAATAATTGCATCAGTTCTCAGAAAGACCGCCCTTTAATTCTGGCACCAGGACCGAGACGCCACCTAAACATGACCGAAACACCGCCTAAACGTAACCGAAACACCACATGAACTTGGCCCCTAAATATGACCGAGACACCGCGACACCACCGCCCAGGCCGGGGGCCGTGTATCCGACGGCGCCCGGCCTAAAGAGTGTACAACCCCAAGCTAACGTTGTTGGGAAATTAGATATTTCCCCAGTCAGTTGCAGGCGCTTTGGATCGGAGTTTTAGTTTTGCGGGTGCTATTCCCGTGGTGATGCAGGTGCAGGTGCTGGATCTGGATCGGCGTTTTGAATTTGCGTGCGCTGTTGCCGTAGTGATGTTGGTGCAGGTGTAGGTGTTGGCTCTGGATCGGCGTTTTGACTTTGCATAGGCGCAGGCGTTGATTATGGATCGGCTTTGGCTTTGCGGGTGCTGTTGCCGTGTTGGTGCTGGTACGAGTGCAGGTGTTGGCTATGGATCGACGCTATGATTTTGCAGATGTTATTACCGTATTGATGTTGGTGCAGGCGCAGATGTTGGCTGTGGATCGGCGATTTGGTCTTGCGGGCATTGATGCTGGATTGATGTTGGTGCAGGTGTAAGAACCCACATGCTTGCAAATTACAAGGATTTCTTATTTCTCAATGGTGTGGCTCTGGATCGGCGTTTCGTTTTGCAGGCGTTGCTGCCGTGCTGGTGTTAGGTCGGTATTTTGTTCTGCCGGTATTGGCGCGCGTTGGTGCAGGCATTGGCTCCGGATCGGCGTTTCGCTTTGCGCGCGTTGGTGCCGGGATTTTGGTTTTGCGGGCGTTGCTGCCGCAGTGATGCCAGCACAAATGCAGATTAGTTGCGGATCGGCAGTGGGGTCTTGCGGGTGTTGTTGCCGCATTGGTGTTTTTGTAGGTATGGTTATAAATAGGCGTTGCGATTTTGCGGGCGTCGTTGCATGGCCGCTACTATATACAAGTGGAAATTTGGTTCCGAGGACGCCGCTATTATATACGCATTCGGGATTTGGAATTTAGTATCATTATTATTAGCTAAGCTAAAGTGGATGGATTCTATCACAAATGGATGGATGGATGTTCGATTGGATGGATGGATAGATGGATTGTTGGGAACAAGGAAATGAAACATATCTCAAGAATTATTTGCAGCCTAGCCTATCGGCTGGCTTTCGTAAAAAACATAACGTATCACAATAGTTAGTCTCAGATGTCTCTGATTGAAGATAAATTGCTCTGTACTTGTTTTGATTGTGCGGATATTCTTGAAATCATATCAATCTGGAAAAGTCTGCATTGAGCTTCTCTCAGTTTGAGAGTTGTCAAGCCTTCAAATTTCCAATCAGCTACTAGGTGTTCCCTTCAAAGGAATGAATTCCTTCGCTGTATATTACAGGTCAAATCGCCCAGCTGCATCAATATCCCGTGCTGGTCTAGGCTTTGATTCGCCTTCCAGCCAGTGCATCAAAGACATGTCTTCAGTGCTCGCTTCCAAGCTTCCCGGCAGCTTTTGCAAGTCAAAGGATGCAGCAGTTCCTGGCAAAGCGTCCTTGCTCCTAGTAGCGATGCCCTTTGTTCCTAGTAGCGTCCTTGTTCCTAATAGCGATGCCAGGAGCCCCTAGTAGCGTCCTTGCTCCTAGTAACTAGTAGTAAGGCATCATGCAAGTTAACTACCACTTGCGCTTCAAAGGCTGACTCCACTGCTTGCAGCCAAGAAGCGGGTCCGCGCTGGTCTTGTGGAACTTTGCAATCTCTTCGGCAAAGCCCTTGCGAAGCCTCGATTACTCGTTGCTCTTCTGCAAGATGCACAAAGTTTCCTGACCTTAAGCTGATTGACTTTATAAAGGCTTTCAATGAGCCCCCGGCACAGCTTCGCCAAGATCAGGCTCTTTATCGAATTCCAAGATTACTGGAGCTGGCCTAAACAGAGCGATGCAAGCTCATTGCTGCAAAAAGCACGGGCTGTTCGGCACCATTACTGTATTCGGGATCTTGGTTTAGCACGCCACCGTCTCGACCTGTTTGTCGCGAATATCTTTGAACAGGTCGTGGTCAAGCGCAGCGTCCTTAGAACACAGCGACTAGTCACTAAAGGCTTGAAAGGCTTGATGGCAGTGGCATGCTTGTAGACATGTTGTCAGTGGTTGGGAGTTGGGAGTAGCATTTTGGTAGATTTTTAGGTGATCGTGAGGTAAAGTGGTGAGGTAGTGAATTTTTGACTCTGGCTACAGGTCGAGCAGCAGCATCCCTATCAGCGCCTACAGAATGATTGGGTCCAAAGAAGTGGGAAGTCTCTTCGGTCCAACGGAGTGGGACCTGATGACCTGTGACAATCAAAGTATCTACTGTAGCCCGTTCCCGAGGCCTCAGCCAGTTACCTGCTGCCCTTTCGGAATTCGCACCGATCACGGCATCGGTACGGCACTGAGGGCACGGCAACGGCAATTCTCTCGATTGGAGTAAATTTGAGCATCTTCCTGTCCGGCTTGCATCCAGTATTGGAAGACAGAAAGTTTGTGGTTAGAATTAGAAGCAAAAACAATCCTGAGGGCTGGGCTCAAGCAAGTCTATTGACTCTTCTGGCGCATCTGGGAAGCGACTACGCCTCGGAATCATGCACTTTTGCTTGCGGAAGACTTAGCACTACAGGATGACCAAGTCTTACACGCTGTCAACATGGCGAAACTCGATCAAGCACTCCATGCTGCACTTGAGCTCTTCGCACGCCCTTGCGCTCACGTCTTGCCAGCGCTCGGATATGCTGCTTAGCCTCCTGTACAGTGTTGTACAGGGAAGATGCACAACGAACTGGCAGTCATCTGACATCATCTGACTGCTTTGGGCCTCAGTGTGCAGTTGAGCTATCTCGGCCTCAAACGTCAGAAATGCTGCAGCAAAAAAACTGCAAGTCAAAGCCGGATCTACTTTCAACAAGCCCCGCAGCAACCTGAAGTTGCCGAGGCAAACTATTCAATACTGTAAACAACCAAAAATTGGATGGGCAGCAGAAAAAAGATCAGATGATCAAACCAACATTGATATCCTGCCTCTGATGGAGTGCCCAAAAGATCAAAAATGACATTGAGCTGGTCCGTGCCTTCCAGCACAGATTTGGATTCGAGGGGATACGCCCATACCGCCCATGCCGCACTGTGCGAGAAACAACAACATCTGAGTGCCACACTCCCACGCCTGTAAATGATTTAATATGGTTGCGAACAAGAGCTCCGTTCAGAACGATTTGACGATGTTTATGAAACAATGAAACTCTTTCAAGAATAAGACTCTTCCTGCGTTCAAGAGGCGTGTGGAATCGTGGGTCTTTTCGATGTTTCCGATCTGGAGATAGTGGATAGCATGAAGACCCTGGGAAAAGAGGACCACGGTCCTCCAACGCACTTCCTTCCTCTGACTTAATTTCCTTTCATCTGCAGACTTTCAATAGGCACAGAGTTCACTCTAACTTCATTTGGCAAACGGTGTTTGCTTCAAAGTTCCGGGTCCTCATGGTGGGTTCCCTCCTTGGTGGCGGTAGGGCAACTACCAAATTAAATTCAGCATAGCAAAACTGAGGGCGCGGCCAGCATTTGCAGCAACTCAGCATAGATGCAACCAACTGACCACATATCAATCTGTTCATTGTAGTTGTCCTGCTGCAAATCGTTCCACGATCAAGTCAAACCAGCTTGGAACAAACACGGAAAGCGCGGAAGCACCCACTGGTGTGAATGCGTACAAATAAGCGACTTTGGGCACCAAATATACCTCAAAAACAGACGTCCCCACACCTCAAAAAACCGTGGAGCCCTAGTAACCCTAGTAGCGTCCTTGCTCCTAGTAGCGATGCCCTTTGCTCCTAGTAGCGTCCTTGCTCCTAGTAGTATGTCCTAGTTCCATGATTTTCCTGGTAATTTTCCAAAGTGTCCACTTTCACAATTGACTGTCCACCAAAAAGGGCACCCAGTCTGCAAGATTGACACAATAGACTATAGACCTTACAAAAACTGCTCCCGGTCCCACACGCCCCCAAAGCGAGTCCAATACACACCAACATCTCCAAAAACCATTGCCTACGGCTACTTCACTGCCAAAGCGGGCCAAAGCGCCCTTCACGTTCCTGGTGCAAGATGGCAACCCCAAACCTCCCAAAAAATATGCTCACACACGCCACACCAACTCGCGATCCAGGGTTCGCCTCTCACGCCCTTCCACTAAAAGTGGGGTACTAGAGAGTAGGTATGTACGACACAAAACATCATGTACACAAAGAAAAGTATATCACACCAAAATCCAGCACCGGTGTAAGACACAGTGAGGATGGGTGACATGTTTAAAAATGAATTACTACCAGCCACATCTACAAGCACCTAATTTGGAACATCAAGATCTGCAAGGTTATGTTTCAAGCGAAGGCATTTCTTGAGCTTTTGATAGAGGTTGTGCCTCTTTCGGTATGGAATATCGGAGTAAGGCGGATTGGGACAAGAATTATCAGCAGCTTTGAGTGTCGGAAGCACTCGCACATTAAGTGGATACGATTGGGTCGGCATGGACGAATAGGATGTCAGATTCGCAATCAGTAGATCAGCAAATGGCATATTAGGACGCGCAGAGATGCCCCCCACAAGACTACGGTGATATCCCAGTCGGATTAAAGAGCTTGCATTGGTCTTCTTATATCGGGGGTAAAATTCACATCGGAGGGAGTTTTCAGGTAACGCACAACAGAGCGAAGAACGGAGGCTTGATGCCACAAGCTTCTTTTTTCATGGGGTTGGATTTGAGCTTCGGGTGAATCATAGTCATACGGCCAAGGCAATTTTTCAGTTTTCGATGAGATCCAAATTGGCAGAAAATGTCCTGTAAAAATCGCAAAGTAAAAGGCCAATTCATACCATGAAACACCAAAATCACCTGGTGTAGCTGGCGAATCACATGATCTCCATTCAAAGGTATGAAACATACGCCAAACCTTAAATGCAATGGACGCACCACAGGGACACGCTTGCGCAACCACTTCTGGTAGGTCGCACTTAAGAATCCAACCCACATTAGAGACACGCCACGTACGAAGTGTGTTCTGATAATTAGAGACGGCATCAAGAGTGTTAAATTCGTGTGTTGCAGCCGCATTCTTTTCCTTCTCCAAATTAAGTTTCGAATGGAGAGCATTTAACTCTGCTAGGTAACAGTATACAGTTGACAAAACATGCCGTTGGCGTTGTGAATGGTCTGAAATGGATTCCGTGGCAGACAAGAGAAGGGGATTGTCCAATTTATTGATCTGCTTAGCTGCCTTGTCAGCCAAGTCGTTACCCATAATCGTGTATAAATCTTCGGAGTCACATGCCTCTTCAAATTTTCGGTGTGATGTGACTTTGCAAATAGAGTGGTATAACGGATTCCAGTTTTGCTGAACGACCCGGAGGAGGTCAACATGCGTTTTTTGGTAAGTTCTGGGGTCCAAAACTCCCTGGGCTATACCTTCAACGATCCTAAGCGCAAAACATGAGTCCGTGTGAATCGTCATAAATCGATTTGGATAGGCAGTGGCAAAATGCTGTGTCAACCATGCTACGGCACCTAATTCACTTCGATTAATCGTCTGTTGGCCCTGGATGTGTGACGTCTGCGCAACTTGAAAATCATCCATGGAAGGGTCGTCTGGGTTTCGATGAACATGTTGCACAACTGCCCATGCAGCTCGACAACAGTTTTGATGTGACGGTTTATCACAAGTGCCATCTGTGTAAAAAACGAAATGTGAACAATCGACAATATTGGGGACATCAAGAATGGGACCAATCCGATCTTGCACCAACAAGTTATATGTCTTCTGGGCAGCGTGCTGTGTGGCAAGCGGAAACCAAAGCAAGTTGGGAAATTCTTGAAGATAAGTTATTGCTTCCGGATGTTTATCACGAAGATGTTGGAAATTCGGACATTCTAACTGACGGTGGTGGTGTGTATCTGGCATTTCACAGTAAGCACAATTAATGGACTGAGAGGAGTCCCAGAGAGATTTCACAGCCCCTGTTTGATAACCACCAGTGAGGTTAAGGACAAGAAGCTTGCGGGATGCATCTGAGAATTGCCTATTTATCTTATGCTGCGTATATAGATCAATAGGCTGAAATGTTATACCTTTACGATGCTGCGTCTGTTCCAAAACATAGTGAGACCATGCTAGGCGAACGATACGTCTAATTTCTTTAGGTGAGTCATTGCGAAGAGACACTTGATGTCCATCGGGGAGCTTGATGGTTGCATCATGTGTTGGGATCCTGCGTTGACCACATGTTCCCACATTTCACTTGCAATCTGAGAGTGATAGTGGAACAGGCGACGAAGACTGCAAATTGCGGAAGAGATGATGTATAGGAGTGGGTCATCTACTTTATCGGATATCACCGACAGTGCTAATAGGGATGAGGCATATTTATGCTTACCTAGCAAAGCATCAGTAGCCAGACGGCGAAGTTTTGTCAAGTGAGATTCTCCTATAAACTGACTCTCTGCAGCATAAAACGCAAGAGGCCACACTGCACTCTGAATCTTCATGGCTTTTTCATCTAGCGATAAGTTATGACGACGCAAGCGAGTTAATCGCCTACTTGCAGAGGCCATACGATCAGTAAGACACCCTAATACACATTGCTTAGTGTACTGCATTGTGCATCCTAGATCTTTAGCAGCATGCCGAACTGCAATATCAATGTGATCTGATGGAAATAACAGGTGGGCATGACTCCAAAAGTCCCTCATGGATTTGGCGGTACCCCAGGCCCAGGATTTTTTAATATCTACCTTCATACGGATGGCATGCGTGAAATTAAGAGTAGTGCGCAGTGCTCGGAACAAACTTCTCTCATTATCCGACAAAAAGGTCCAGTTATCAGCGTAAGTGAATGGGGTCGCCCTAGCTTGAGACATATGATGGAAGAAAATTGCGGCAATCACCAACATTGCGCACACCGATAAAGCATCCCCCTCCGGAGCCCCGGTCGTTGACGAACATGCAGGTCCAAAATTCTTGCTTGTTTGGAGCATACGTTGCATGTTATTTAAGGACCGAATCCAAAAACTTATGACAAAATCCGGTGCACCAAAGTGGATTACTAGGCGTCGTGCAATCTGACGAGGGATGAGATTAAATGCTTTTACCAGGTCCAGTGTGAAGCCTCCAAATGGTGTGCCCGATGTGTGCGCTTTTTCAAGGATATATTGCTGTTGGATGGTAATATCCTTGACTGCGCGAAATGGGAGCCCTCCGGCAATTTTCGGGTCCCAAGTATTTCCCCACTCGCGTAAAAGTTGGTCTGCAACTAGTTTGGACGTCAGCCTAGGAATATACCCAAGAATGGTGATTGGGCGGCCATCTGAAAATGACTCTGGATGTGCAGTCTTAGCTAGCAAAATTACTCTGGCTAGCATTTGATTCTTGGAGAATTGATGGGGCCATATATTACGAAACACACACGCGAGATCTTCAATGGCAAAAGCTTAAGTTCTTGAGCCCTCCAACCATCGACCCCCGGAGCCTTGTATGATTTGAGACGCTGGATAGTGGAACGAATAACGTGTGGATCACTACAAGTGATCGGAATGGGATCGCGTGGAGGAACGGACGGCAAAATATCATGAAACACGTCATCCCATGCCGAGAGATCTGTAGCTTCTGTTTCTGTGTCTCGCTGCCACATGGGGTTCCAGAAAGAAAAGAAATGGCGTGACAAGGTATCAATGTCTTCCGTATGTCGTGACTGACTCAGCGTCCCTCGGAGAGGAATTGTTACGCACGGTGGCTCAATGCATATTAATCTCTGGGATTGAGAAAGAATTTTAATTGGTATATCACCATATAATGCATCACCTTCTCGAAACTTACAATCAGTCGTAAGAAGCAATCTCACCATACCTTTCGACAGTCGAATAAGCTTAGCTTCTATGAAGATTGGGCACGCGAGACCAGAAATCACCTTTTGTTCCTTGTCACGAAGGTCACGATACACTAGCGAACCATTCTTGTCAAGATTATCTTGCTGAATTCGGTGCTTACGCGCTGCGCGGCGCATTTTTTCCTCTTGACGGACGGCAATATCAGTTTCATAACGAGTTAGCTGTAAGAGAATGCGAAGTAATGGCAAATCTGGAATGGACACAGGAATAAATGGGGTCTGCAGTATGCATAAGTCGAAGTGTTCGATCAAGAGCTTTCTCCACTGTTTGTGACCAGAGTCGTACTTTATGCTCTACTGGGACGGAATCTGATTCGATGTGTGTTGTTAAAAACACTTCTTGCGCTGTATCATGATATTTTTGTGCGAAGAGGTCAGCCTGAATTGGAAAACATGACCAGTCTTCAGGGACAAAAAGCGTGGGCGGCAAGGTATGCATCTTATCACACGATATGCGCGCATAGATCGGGGAGTGATCAGAGAAAAGGTGGGATGGACCCACCCACATATCAGTAACCAGAGCAGCAATTAGTGGATGGAAGATGAATGAGTCGAATCGTGTAGAATTCCTACACGTCGGTGGCAAGTCTTTACCTAGTTTTTTCAAAGCGAAATCAAATCCCTCAACGCATTGAAGATTTGAGAAGGCTTGCCATGCAGTTAGGGTTTGAATGCGTTGATAAAAATCCCCTGCAATTACAAATGGCATAGAGGTTTTCGCAGTAAAATCATAGAGATAGGTCAACAGGATATCATTTAATTGCTGAGCTTCGGTGGTACGTCCTGGAAAGAAATATGTACTAATAACCATCACCTCGAAAGCATCAAACATACAAACACAGGAGTTGAAACGGCACGACTGGAACAGCACCGAAGTATCCTCTATTCGGGGGAGACGAAATGACAATTTTGTCATGATAGCGGTTCCGAGAGCATCCCCACGCCTAGATGGCTTGGAATCCCTCAAAACAGATGTCTTGATTTTATCATCAACTGCCTGTCCCCACAAGATTCTATACCGGGATGGGGTGATCGTCTGACTAAACTCGTGTTGAACCAGTGAGGTGGCTGACGTCTCAGCTAAACAAATAACCTCGGACCCCAAGGACTCCAGCAGCGTTTTTTACTGGCCACCGCGGTTGGGTTGACCAAGCACACATCAAAAGCTGGACCCGGATGAAGAGCTTCACCAAATCTATGTGCGAACATTGGATCATGGTCGAATTGCTTAGGCAAAAACAATCTAGCGCATGAGTATGAAACATGAGTAGCATGTCACGAAACATGGGTCCAGCAACGCCAGCGACTAAGACGCTGCAGCCGGATGAGTGTGGCAGGTAATGCGCTGAATTGGCACGACAACCTTGTTGGTAAGAAAAGTTAACAAAGGATCCTTCATCCAAGTTGATAACAACAAATATCAGGATTCTACAAGGACATCCAACAAGGATATGGAATGAGGTGAAACCGAAAGCACAGCAACGAAAGAGTCATGGGACGGGTCGCATATCCGCGTCCTCCGACTTGGCAGGGCTTGGTGGTGTATGCCGCTTGCCACTCTGCTGCTTGCTTTGCTCGATCATGAATTGCTGAAGCTTCTGGATAGAGTCCTGAACAGACGCGCTTATTTTAGACTCAGTCCTGGCAAGCGCTGATTCAAGAGAATTCTGATATTGGGTCTCCATGCGCTGAAGGTCTGTCTTGACCTCGTCCTTGAAGGCCCGCACATCACGTGATACAGCTGTCTTCCAAGCTTGGTCTGTCTGCTCTTTCTGATCCAGTTTTGCCTCAAGATTCTGGAGTTTAGTCTTCATCGATTGCATTTCCTTCTGCTGATGTGTCATCTGTTGGGTCATCTTCGTGGTCGTCTCTCCACCCGTTCGATCTGATGACGAGCTGGAGGCAGTGCTTTTGGATTCAGAGGACCATCTACTCCACGGATCTTCGCTCATCCAGGGATCTTCAAAGTCATCTGAGATTGCATCAGCACGATCTTGCCTCTTTTTTCCCGCCATCACAGTGGGACGGGTCTTCTCTATACGTGACTGAATTGGTGTCAGAAGTACCGAGTTGCCATGCCAGGTCAGGAATTGTTGGCTAACCCTTTCAACTGTAGAGATCAACCACGTAGATGTATTCAACGCCCTCACTGGTTTCCCACGCAAACCTTGCGCTTTCAACCATTCTCGGAGATTGTCAGCGGTCGCACCCACAGGCGTCGGTGACACTTTGGCCAAGAAGTGAGTGATCAGAACATTGGGCGGCGACTTTGTTGGGAATGCCTTTGTATACACCTCTGTGAAATTGTCGGCATGAACCCTCACACCATAGTGTAAGGACCCTGTGGTGGATCGTGCCAAACCCAACTGGCACTCTAGGCTATCTGCAAAAGCTTTAACCTGTGTCCAAGTGCTCTCCGGATGCCAGATTACCATGAACTTCTCGTCCGCACGGCTCAAGGTTTCAGATTTCGGTGTGATATACACACCCTCACGCCCGCTCCTCTTCATCAGAAACTGTAGTGCAGACTCGCGGATTCTGCAGTGGTATTGAAAGGAAACTGCTGCTTCAGGCTCGCAAGGCTGATGTTCATCACGAAAGGTTCTTCCCCATGGACTGGAGCAGTAATGATCAGCCGGCTTTAAGGAGAGGACCGTTGCGCACGTGCGAGCTGGGTTCTTCAACAGCTGCTCCCATAACTGTTCCGTCATCTCTGGCTTCCACGCCGTGATGGATGTCAAACAAGAGTTCTCAACCTTGATATCATCACCCTGCTTGGCACGAAGGCTTACGGTCGTAGACCCACATTGATGTAGGCACCCCTTGAGAATGACATGCATGCCGTGGCGATCAGCTGCCGGAACATGGATCCTATGGCAACCTGCATGTGACAGCGGGCACTCAGGGCCTAGGACACAGATGGCAAAAGCGGGCGGCTTTGGTTCACTACTTTGTGCAATGGTCACAGCTTCATTGGCATCCACGAGCATGATTCCCTCACGACCTGGGTCTCCTGCTGGCAAACACGGGACTGATTTGCCATCTGGTGTGGCAAAGGTGTCCTCTGCAATTGCGAAATTAGATGCCTGTACGGCCACATCTGCAGGTACGGCTTTTGGCTTCCACGCTTTGACCTTCTTGGCTCTATCACTTTCTGGGTCAGCGAACGAAATAGGGCTGATCTGCATTGCCTTTGCTAGGTTTTGAAAGTGTGAAAAGCGTTCGTCTGTATCTCGAATGGCCAAAGCGTGCTGAAGGCGATTGAGGCCGGCCTTCTCAAAGAGCTCACGAACATATGAGTTGACAGCTACTGCGTCGGCTCCACATTGGAGAAGGAACGTGACGACCTGCTGTTTCACTCGCATATGTGCATCCACCTTACTTCCACCTCCTCGCAATTCAAGAACGAAATCAAGCTTCATTGGGCTGGTTTCATGGGGTGTTGGCAAGTATGAACATATAGGTGTTCTTCATGCGAGAGTCGCTGTCCTCGGTATATGGCTCTCATCTGGGACATGGAACCTGTATGCTTCGAAGCACGACTCCATCGATCTACCACAGCATGAACCTTGGTTATCCTGGGCCAATTATGGACTGGTGTCCACGAATCCCACCGCTTTATTGTTACACGAATGGCATCAGAATCACAAACATCCCGTGGAAGAAGGGCCTGGGCAATTAATGTGGTGCAAAAGGTCACAAAATTCTGGGAGGAGATGCATGGCCGACCAAGGATTGGTTGAAAAGCAACACGTGGCATCGGCTGATGTGACCCTGGGCTTGGAATCCAAGACATCTGCCACCCCACACTTTCTGCGAATGCTACCACCCCCACCTCAAGGCAGAAATGAACATAGTGATGCAATGCATAATCCATGGCTTCAACATACCATCCCACATGTTGAGGGATCCAGCGCAAGTCATCTACCATAGAAGGTTCAGGTGTGTCACGCAAAGGCAAACGCATGAATACCAAGTCAGGACAAAAACTTGTTGGCTCCAACCTATGTCCCCACAGGTTACACGGTTGCATCGCCTGTGGGACTAACCCAGACAAATCATGTCGAAGGCTCTCAATCTGCTTATTTGGGGATCTCACTAACACGAAGTGACCAGCTCCAGAACAGACCACAATGAAAGGCTTTGACTGCGTATGACAATCAACCTCCCGCACTTGAAAGTTACCGAATATCCCATCGAATTTGGTGGAGCTGTAACCAGACATGTCATCTGCTGTTAAAGGCACTTGGATATCTGGGTGCGAAGAAGGCCTCCATGTAATGGCATTTCCAACAGCTTGTGGGTACATGAAACGAATCAGCCAGGCAACCGGAAGTCCTGGGTGAACATGGAACTTGCAGTATTCCGGACCGAAAGGAATGTGCCACATGGAAAATGCTAACTGGGGATCCGACCACTGGAGAGTGGGGGAGACTGTCATTTCAATCTTGCCCAAAATGGTGTCTACCAGAACTTCCTGCTTGGAGGCTGAGAGCCTATTTTGCAGCGCATTGTGAATGAGCTCGGTTGGAGTACCAGTCCAGCACACATCCGGCAGTTGTCCCACTGTGTTTAACAGGCATAACATTGCGTGCGGTGTAGCAATGGCATTACCAATCAAACGAAAGGTGGCCACCGGCGAGAGAGGAGCACACCGTGGCCGGAGCAATCCCATTGCATTACACAACTCAGGGATCGACATCCACCGCAGGATATCGCCGTCTTGGATGAGATTTCCAAAAAGGCCATTCTTTTCAACCAGCTAGTCATCCAACAAGTGGGCTTGTCCGTACTGAGCGAGTATGCAAGCCAAAGACTGGTGCTTTGTCTTCACTCTATAGGTTTTGGCCGTTTTTGCATCACACTTTCGATCACCTGGAATGAACTTGGGATGCAAGTAACGACGAAGTGTCTCCGTGGACAACTCTGGAACGAACCTATGTGCAATGCATTCTTTAGGGCGCAGAATGTCAGACTGTTGCAATGACAATGCTTTCTGACAATCCCAGGAACGGAACACAAAGTCTGGCTTAGTGTCCTGCGACTGGTGTACCAAAGTCATGAGACAGCGATCACGATTTTGCGGCAAAGCCTGCCCCAAATTCACATTTGTTTTCCACTTGATCTTCCATCCCAGCCATGAAATCAAGTCTTGGAGAATGGGAAAGTGCGCATGTGTCAAAAATGTGGCCACATTTTCAAGGCCCACGGCAACCGGGCGTAACACAGTGGCTTTGATCAGGCTTTCGACTGAAAGAAATCCGTCCTCACGTGCCAACCCAAGTGCAGAATTGACTGTGCTCCATGCCGGGCAAGGGGGAGACAGGACAAGGATGTCGACCGGCAAAATGAATTGCATCCACCATCCTAAACATATGTCGGCCTGAAACGTTCTTGTCGACAAAGGGTTGGCGAAAGAAGTCCTTTCCTTGTGAATGGCCTCGGATGCACTCCTTTCAACGTCCCCATCTCCACAATTGGCAGCGAATGTCGTGGCAGCAACTGGGTCAACATCGATCGCGAAAGACGAAGTAATCCTGAGGGCATGATTTGACACATAATTGGCCGCCTGGGTCCATCCAGAGAAACCCCCTGAAAAGAACTCCCCTTTGACGATGGTCTGTTCCACACCAATCACCCTTGGCCAAGTGAAAAGCAGCCCAGTTCTTGAGGCAGTCGTGTCAACCACAAACCCCTGGTCAAAACATGTAATGGATGCATCAACCAGCCATGCTTCTTGAGGGCGCTGAGGCTTCGACCAGATCGCGCGAAACATGCGCAAACATCCTGATGTGAATTTGGTGTGAGTACACATCTTGTGCATAAGTGATGCCCCCCGGAAAGTGGTTGGGAAGACAATCTCAGGTTCTATCAGCTCAGCACGTACGGTTACTGTGGCTTCATCTTCCCGGATCACATGCGAGAGTCGAACAAAGGCACAAAAACATCTGGCACGGCACTCACACACCTCTTGCACTGGTCGAAACTCCTTAAGACGGCACACCACCTTCTGTTCTGGTGTCAGTGATCCGCCTGATGCTGGCCCGGGTGTGATGCCTCGCCCACTCGCCTACCGAAGTATTGATCGAATCTCCTCGCAAGGCTCGAATGTGCATGACGGTATGGACCATCCTCACCATATGCTATTGTTGGCTGGAGGATCAGGTCATCTTGGTGATGATGTGGAAAACGACCTCCTGCTAAACGGAATGTCTCCACTCTATTCCCACGCACCAGACTTTCCAAGAATAGCACACGAGTGGCAAATGCAAAACGGATCAGGCCTACATCGGTCGAAGCATTGTTCCACAAATCAAAAGCATGATTGGCTAAGTGCACCATTGTGGAGGCTTGATGGTTGTGCTGTAACCGAAGGATCGCAGAGGTGACATCTGGAATGGTCGGACTATTGACATCTTGTAGGATCATGAACAAAGCCTGGAATCCACACATGCCCTGGATCGCAACAATCGGCACGAACTGAATCCGAAGGGCGCCTAATGGAATCTGTAAGAAACGTTCCATACACTGTGCAAAACCATTCCATTCAACATTGTCGAAAGGCACCGAATCGTGGACCTGACATTGCGTTACTCCCTGATGTCGGGCAATTTTTACACCAAACCAATGTAGTTCTCTTGCTACAATGCAGTATATGATCGATTCAAAGGCATGGTCAAAAGTCACACCCGAAATGTATGCTAAGACTTGGTTAATGGGGTCCCAAGACAAGCATGGCAGAATCACAGCCTCGGACATAAACGGTCGATAGAAGGACATCATGAGATCGAGTTCATCAGAACCAGCCCAATCGGGTTGGATAGCACTGGACGTCAACCGAACAAGGAGACTTTGACGATGCGATGTGGTCATCTCGAACCCCGGCACCTCAGCAGCAGACCATGTGACAATTGTCTGTGAGGCGGCATCAGCGTTGTCAATTTCTTCAATCTCAGGAGGGTCATTCACTTGGTCAACTTCATCCAAGTGGGCCGTTGCTGCCAAACTTACACTCTGTACCTGATGGACCCTGAGCATGATCAAAACAGCTGAGTGGGTGTCCTACGGCCACTATTGCATGCGAATCGAGCACGTGATGTACTGACGTTTGCATCAGTAGCATGTTAATGAAAAAGGCCTTTCTCAGAGTCCATGCCACTTGCTGCAGAACAGATGGGGCCTCAGTCACGGCCCAGAAGTCAGCTGATATCTGCATGATCCGATCCACAATCCTTCTTCGGTCCAAAGAGAGCGTGTGATGATCATGTTCAATGTTTCGAAACTGGAGCTGAGCTTGAACACGCTGAATCCACCTCCGCAAGAGAGTCCATCCGCACATTTGAGGAATTGAGTCCCCACTGGTGTGCGAAAGTTGGAGTCTATGAGCCGGCGCATGTAAAATGTGGCACGCGAAAAGCGCAAGACGCTCAGTCATGGTTGGTGGGCACTGCACGGTGTGGACTTGAATACCTTCGTCACTTCGAGAGATCTCAACGGCCACCCAATCAGTCCCATAAAGAATGGGGATCATCGTGTCACACTCGTTAGAAATCTGATCGAACCCACTCTCGAAATGGAACTCGTCTGTTTGCGGAGTGTAAAATGCCACAGGCGTGAACCTAGTGTCTCGTGTCACAGGGGCAATGCGTCCTAGCACAAAAGTCATCGCATCGCTGGCCAACCAGCCCTCTGAGTCTTTGGCGAAATCAATGCGCTCTCCAATAGTGGCACGTGGTTTCAAAACCGTGGATCGAGGCGTGCGCCACGAAATTGCCCCACCTGCCTAAATTGGCAAGAAATGCACTCCTTGCACGAACTGATCGGTCTGTGCGGCCGTGTACACGAGACTTAGCGAGTCACTGTAGCTTAATGGTGCCATATTGGTCATCTCGTTCATTAGTCCAAGGTCATCTGCTCGCAAATGGGTGTGGGAACTGAATTTATCGGGTACGAAAGCATTCCTAATTAGTGAAACAATGTCGACAAATTCACGAAACACCCCCAATGTTAGAGGTACCACCGGCCTCCTGCTTGGAATCCTACCAAGAATGACATGTTGTGCACTGATGGACGGTCGTTCTTGAGCAATGTGGAACGAATCATGGCATAAGGGGCACACATCGTGGGGATGTGTCTGGAGATCACTCTGCCCCCTGGAAAGAATCTCGAGTTGACACTTCGGAGAACATGCAGTCGAAGATGAATCGGACATAGCTGGAGTCCATGCCACAGTGTCTTCAGCAACACGACGCATCAACAAACGGCCATAATTCATCTTTATAAAGCCAACTCCCGCAGTCAGAGCAGTGGCCAAAAAGTGCTTGAAGAAGAGAATAACCATCCACTCATCCCATGAGATCCATGAGGAGGCATATCATCTGGAGATGCACCGCTGCTACCCACCTGCTGAGATCCTGCAATATTCCACATAGATATAAAAATCAATGTAGATAACCAGCTTCGAATCGCTCGGAAAACCCACAGTGTTCCTTCTACGAACGTCGCCGCCAAAGCAGAAATCATGGCCTCAAGATGGTAATGATTCCAACCCTCATCATCTCCATCAAGAGTATCATGACCTGCATGAGGAGAGTTGCTGATCACGTGTCACGCGCCAGTACTCCCATCGTCGCTCTTGCACCTCTTCAATACTCCTAGGATCTTCAACCACCAAGGTGAAAATCTCACATCCTGCCTTCACTGACTTCGCCACACCCATTTTTGCATTCCATGTGAGCCATGGGTATAGGGACTTGGGAACTTTGAGGAAAATATCACGGGAACTCGAGTCCTCTCGGAAACGGATGATCATGAAGTCATGTGAACAATACCAGCGTTCCAGGCATACCCCATGGTAAAGACCACGTCCATGCCAGAAGCGAGGATTCGCAGGGTGAGCAGCCAAAGGTCGGATGTCATCAGGGCACACACATGTGTACGGCGTGGCCACAATCCGCACCCTAACCTAAGACTCACAGGCTAGGGTGGCAAGCATGCCACGAGGAGGCTTGGGCCACAATGCTTATGCTCGCACACGCCCAAAGCCTCCCAACAAAACGCCACTGGTGCGCGTGAACAAACAACCGACTTTTGGTTCAAAAACATACATCCCCACACCTCAAGAAACAGTTTTCTACTGAGAATGTTCATTGTTTTTCCCGAATGCGTAGCGAAGGGTTCCCGTTTATAGTTGGTGGTCTGGGGGTTGGAGCTGTGTTCGCATGGCTTGCGTCGTGTCGTCGTCTCTCGTCGTCTGTCGTCGTCTCTCGTCGTCTGTCGTCGTCTCTCGTCGTCGTCGCGTCTCAAATTTGCTGCCATTGGGGGAAGCTTTTGCAAGTGACTTTGCATGGACGTGTCACGTGTCAGTTGGCGCCGCTAATCCATTGTGATTTGCAGGAGCAGGACATGTCGCGCGAGAAACGTGATGCGTTTCGCTGCACAGGCGCAGCGTTTTGTGAGATCGGCAGATTACTCCGCAGTTCCATTGGGATTAGCGTTTGGAGAGTCGTGTTTTTGGGGTGTTGGATGTGGCCGTGCCATTGGGATTTGCGTTTCAGGGTGTGGCATCGAAGCTCGGTTTTCGTGACAAGTCTCAGCTGAAATGGCGATTTTGGTGGATGGGAGTGGGCTCAGAACGGGTCGAAATCATTGCAAACGTGTGGTGTGGTGCAAATTTTGTCGAAGCTCACATGAGATGATATTGTCACTTTTCGTGGCAGGCGCAGGACTTTGTGCGGGTTTTGAGGCGTGGAAGCGCGATTCTCGTGGCAGGCGCAGGGAATCGTGAGGTTGCGAGATGTGACGGAGGTGACATTTCGTGGCAGGCGCAGTACTTTGTGCGCGTTAGACGTGTGGACCCGGAAAGATTCGTGGCAGGCGCAGGGAATCGTGAGTTTGTGAGTTGTGGTAGAGGTGAATGTCGCTGTCACATTGGGATTGGCGTGTGAGCGGATGTTGTTTGGAGGGGCGGGAATCGCGAAACTGCTTGGCAGGGCTGCGTGATGTGTGTGCTCCGATGGGTGTTTCCGCTTGACTTTTGGAGGAAGTCTCGTACGAAACGCTCGTTTTGCAGACTTTGACATGTGAGTTTTTGAGGAAGTCTCGTACGAAACGCTCGTTTTGGAGACTTGACGCGCAACCCTCTGCGGAGATCGCGCGCGTCGAGTGCGCGAAATGCAGGCGAGAGTGCGATTTGTCCCATGCGCACGCAACCCTCTGCGGAGATCGTGTGTGTCGAGTGCGCGAAATGCAGGCGAGAGTGCGATTTGCCCCACGCGCGCGCAACCCTCTGCGGAGATCGTGCGTGTCGAGTGCGCGAAACGCAGGCGAGAGTGCGATTTGTCCCGTGCCCGCGCAACCCTCTGCGGAGATCGCGCGTGTCGAGCGCGCGAAATGCAGTGGAGCACTGGCGACTTTGTAGTACAACTTTAGTACGCGGGGTATCTGGGGAGCTGGAAGATGAGAACTGGTGACTCGATAGTACAACTTTAGTACGCGGAGCAATCTGTGGAGCTGGAAGCTGAGAACTGGCGACTTTGTAGTACAACTTTAGTACGCGGAGCAATCTGTGGAGCTGGAAGCTGAGAACTGGCGACTTTGTAGTACAACTTTAGTACGCGGAGCAATCTGTGGAGCTGGAAGCTGAGAACTGGTGACCCACAAGAGTGTCCTACAAGAGTGTCCCAGAAGAGTGTCCCACAAGAGTGTCCTACAAGAGTGTCCCACAAGAGTGCGCTACAAGAGTGTCCCACAAGAGTGTCCTACAAGAGTGTCCCACAAGAGTTTCCTACAAGAGTGACCCACAAGAGTGTCCTACAAGAGTGTCCCACAAGAGTGTCCTACTAGAGTGTCCCACAAGAGTGTCCCACAAGAGTGTCCCACAAGAGCGTCCCACGAGGGTGTCCCACAGAGTGTCCCACAAGAGTGTCCTACAAGAGTGTCCCACAAGAGTTTCCTACAAGAGTGACCCACAAGAGTGTCCCAGAAGAGTGTCCCACAAGAGTGTCCCACCAGAGTGTCCTATAAGAGTGTCCCACAAGAGTGTCCCACAAGTTTCCTACAAGAGTGTCCTACAAGAGTGTCCCACAAGAGTGTCGTGTAAGAGTGTCCCACAAGAGTGTCCTACAAGAGTGTCCCACAAGAGTTTCCTACAAGAGTGACCCACAAGAGTGTCCTACAAGAGTGTCCTACAAGAGTGTCCCAGAAGAGAGTCCCACAAGAGTGTCCTACAAGAGTGTCCCAC